GTGTTACCCAAGATTTCAATGTATTTTTTTTTTTTGGGAATTATTGCCCAATATCGCTTTTTATAAGCAATAAATTAATAAAATTTTCTATGCCATTTACTCCAAAAAGATTTCCTGTATTTCATTTCAAAGGAGTATCGGTACAAACATAAGGCCAGATACCGCCTTTTCAAAAAAAAAAAAAAAAAAATCAAAAGTCCTAAATACTCTAACTGCTCTCATGGTCGTCCCCCACCTCCTCCTCATTGTCATCAACAACATCAGATCCCCCCTCATCACTGTCGTCAGTGGGCACGAAAGGTGAGAAGTCAATATTAGGGAAAGCGGTAGAAACTTTCCCTCGGAGATCCTCGAAACCATCAATAAAAGCATCTGCAAGACCGTTCTCCAAGTCTTCCTCAGCACGGGAAACTCTCTCCCTAGCAGCCGTCAGCTTTGCCTCTGCAACAGCTGCCTCTCTGAGCATGGCCCTCCCATGGGCCTCTACAAGCTCAGCCTCTCTGAGCGTGCTCCTCTCGCGGACTGCCAAAAGCTCAGCCTCTAGCTTAGTGGCCCTCTCATAGGCTGCAACAAGCTCACCATCCCTGAGCGCGCTCCTCTCGTGGACTGCCAAAAGCTCAGCCTCTAGCTTAGTGGCCCTCTCATGGGCTGCAGCAAGCTCACCATCCCTGAGCGCGTCCCTCTCGCGGGCCGCCAGAAGCTCAGACTCTAAATTAGAAAACCTTTCATGTGCTGCCACAAGCTCACCCTCCCGGAGCACGTCCCTCTCACGGGTCACCAAAAGCTCAGAATCAAGCTCGACAATCCTCTCCTGAGCAGTAATAAGCTCCCTCTGCACAAGGCTAAGATCCAGCTTCAGCTTGTCTTGATTATAGGCCCTCGAAAGCAAGCAGATGGAGGAAGTCGAAACCTAAAAAAAAAGGGAGTCAAAAACACTGGAAACGACTGGAGAAAGGGAAATAGCAGACCCTTACTTGAGCCAGACCTTCCAAATATGTGTTGACGATATTATCAGTGCCCGAAGCGCTAAGCTCAGAAACTTCTGGCCCAAACACAAACCTCCCAACCCTTGCCCTGATAGCTGTTGGTCTCCCCATCATAGCACCAGCCCAAATCGGCACTTGGGTAGAAGTTCCTGAACAAGGAGGAGACAAAGGAGGGGTAGCACGAGGAGAGGATAAAGGTGGAACAGATGTGCCTGGCAAGGAAGATTCTGGAGCAGCAGTTGGAGAAGTTGCTAGTTGAGAAGGAGCCACCGTGGAAGCCACATGGGGGGCATCATCTGTCCTTGTCACTTTGGAAGAAGAAGATTCTGGAGCAGCAGTTGGAGAAGTTGCCAGTTGAGAAGGAGCCACCGTGGAAGCCACATGGGGGGCATCATTTGTCCTTATCACTGGGAAGAAGGAGGGCTCCTGCTAGAAAAACGGGACACCACCACCTTCTTACTCGCTGCAAGAATAGAGAAGGGTTAAAAAAAAAAAAAAAAAAAAGGGGAGAGGAAACTAGCTCACCCTTTTTCTTCGAAGAGGAGCTGCCAGATTTCTGAGATGGAGCTACAGCTCTAGTATACTTGGGCAGGAGAACTCCCAAATCTTTACAAGGGCAAGCTTTGACAGCCTCCAATTTCCACTCCTGGTCCCGGGAAAGCACAGGTATATCTACATAGAAAAAGTGAGCACACACAAAAAAAAAAGGGAAAAAAGAAGAAGTGTGGAGCATACCGGGCTTTTTGGCAGCACCCCAATGTGTTGGCACCAAAACTCTGTCGGCTTCTGAAGCCCATTCTCCACCAATAAAGAAGAAACAAGATTTCCAGCCGCCGCAATTAGAGCACATCCCTGCAAGCACCGTACCACTCCGCGCGGTAAAATAGTACCATCCCCTATTTGGTGTAGGGGTTTCGCTCAAATTATATGCTGCATGAAACTCCATAGGGGAAGCATCCTCGTGGTGCACCTTTCTCCATAAGGCAAGAAAACCGAGCAAGACTCTCCAACCGTTGGGTGCTAGTCGCCCCGGGGTCAAGGAAAAGTAATGCAAAACTCGACAAACGGGGGAGGACATGGGAAATCTTAACCCAGCCTCAAGCATCTCCTCGTAGACAACAATATCCCCGGAAGAGTCATCGCAAGCAAACTCGCCCAACTCAGCCCGACGGCACAACACGGTCGGAGGGATGCGATAAGTAAAAACAAGCCTAGAAATATCTTCATCTGAGTAGAACAAACTACGAAGGGTGCTCACCTTAGACCCGTCATCATCAGGTCCCACTTTGCTATTGCGTTTCTTCTTCCGGGGCCTTAAGGAGTAGTCCAAATCACCATTGGGAGAGTCTTGAAGAACTTGAATCGGGGGAACTACAACAGGGGCTTGATCATCAAGGGCAGCACCCAAAGTTTCCCTACTACTTGCAATGTCTGGCCCAACGCCTGAAAGTGTGCCTGACTGCTGTTGCTCATCAAAACAAAGTTGCCCAGTAGCTTGAAGGGTGCTTGGCCCTTCAATATTGCACAAAACAGAATTTTTGGCGCAAAAATCAGCACCTAAGGCGCCCAAATCAGTACCTCGAGTTAGAATCGGATCAGCCCGTGCTCCCAGGCCACTGCCTAGCTCTCCCTGACAAACCTTGGACTGATTTTCAGCGCCCCTCGATGGAAAAGTGCTACTGCCCAGCGTTCCAAAGCCGCTCAGCGCAGCAGATCTGAAGCTGTCCGGGACAGCAGAAGCAGCAGCTAGGCTGCTGCCCAGCGCACCTGGGCTGTCCAGGACAGCAAGGCCAGCGCCCAGGCAGCTGCCCAGCGCGCCTGGGCTGTCCAGGACAGGAAGAGCAGCGCCTAGGCAGCTGCCCAGGCCCCCAGCGCGCGCAGAGCAGCCGCCCAGGCCCCCAGCGCGCGCGCTCACTGCCCAGCTGCGTGCCTGCCCTGCCCATCTCCCCTTCCAGCGTGCCGTCACTGCCCAGGCCCCCAGCGCGCGTAGAGCCACTGCCCAGGCCCCCAGCGTGCGCGCGCGCGCTGCCCAGTCGCGCGCCTGCGCGCCTTCGCTGTCCAGCCGTCTCCCTGCGCAGCCCAAGCCATTCCTCGCGCCGCCCATCTCCCCTTCGCTGTCCAGCTTTTCAATTTCAGATCCACAACTTTCTTCAACCTCCACCAATCTCTCTTCAATCAACATTGTTCACTTGAGAAGCTCAACTAGCAAGGAAGAAATCACACTCTTGAAAGGATTCAAGGAGAACACACTTTTGCTTCAACAAAATGGGTAGGACTTGAGTTCTCAAAATTTTCAAGAGGTGGGTGCTCAACCTTAAAAATAAGTGAAGTGGTAACATGAAGAAGAAGACTATATTTATAGTCTAGGGTTTTTCAAAAAGAGGAAAAAAGCCCAAATAGACTATTATGGGCCCTCTTCAAAATAAAGTAGGCAAATAGAAAATTATGGGCCCTCTTCAAAACAAAGTGGCCAAAAAGAAAGTTATAAGCCATTTTCAAAACAAAAAGGCCAAACAAAATATTATGGGCCATATTTAAAATAAAGTGGAAGAGACTTGAAAAAAAAAAAAAAGTGTAATCAATGCCTCCTTCTCCAAGTCTCCTTGGACATGGGGCATTGAGGGGCAAATGATGGGTTAAGCCCAAATAGTCCAATTTATATATTAAAGTCCAACCCCGGTTGAGGAGCCCAACCTCATTGTGAATCCACCAAGACCAAGACAGTCCAAGGCCGGTTAGACTTCTTGCTTAGCACGTCACCAATAGACCACCAAGACCAAGACGGTCCAAGGCCGGTTAGACTTCTTGCTTAGCACGTCACCAAGAGACCACCAAGACCAAGACGGTCCAAGGCCGGTTAGACTTCCTGCTTAGCACGTCACCAAGAGACCACCAAGACCAAGACGGTCCAAGGCCGGTTAGACTTCTTGCTTAGTACGTCACCAAGAGACCACCAAGACCAAGACGGTCCAAGGCCGGTTAGACTTCCTGCTTAGCACGTCACCAAGAGACCACCAAGACCAAGACGGTCCAAGGCCGGTTAGACTTCTTGCTTAGCACGTCACCAAGAGGAGAGCACGAGAAGCTTATCCGCACCACCGAAGGAAACAGTCTAATCTTTGACCACGTTTCATGAAGAGCTCCCCAACCTCTTCCTTCCGTTGAGGATAAGTCGTGATCTCCACCAAGAATAATCTCTAAGCTGCGATAAAGAAGCTTTGAGGATATGTCATGATCTCCACAAGAATGATCTCTTAGCTACTATAAAATGGCTCTAATCTGGGAGAGGAAAGACACATGCTCCATCAGAGACTTACAGAAGACGAACCGACTACCGGAGATTATTATTTTTCTTTGATTCTCCATTCCCCCTCTCAAAGCTTGTATCTCCATTCTCCATACCTTTGAATCAATAAAATACCCGGCGACTGAAGTCATTGAAGAGTGGACGTAGGTCGAATTGACCGAACCACTATAAATTGTGTCTTCTCTAATTTTTTCGTTGATTTCATTGCATTTATTATCTATACTTGACAGGTGGTGTGCAAAACCATTTTTGTGCATCATCAAAGCCTACTCTTGGCAAGTTTTTTGAATGAAGTCCTAATTTCCATAAATACTATATTTTGTTCTAATTCTATCATTGTCTTTATAAATATTGACACTTAAAATATTGAGACTATAACATTAGTCTTCTCCTATTCATATATATTTTAATTTTTTGTGTTTTAACTCGTATTAAAAAGTAAATTATTTCATATCAAAAAAGTATGACAACTGATTCATTCTAAAAAAATATAAAATTAAATTAAATAATAGTTGATATACAACATAGTGTATTTAATGAATATTTATAAGAAAAAATAACATTTATCGATAATTTTTCCACTATTTTTCAACAGAGCACCCTAGGAACATTTCTATCTATTTCATCCTTTGACTATTGTACTCCTGTGATAAAAAACAACCTTCAATAAACCACACCCCTCAAACCAATTCACCTTCCATTTAAAAATGCATCGCCAACTCTTCCTCTCTCCCCTTCTCCACCACTCCATCGCCACCATCATCTTCATCCTCATCACTTTTCCGACCTGTAATGGCGACGACGATGACCAGTACACAATCTGCAACACCACCCTCTACCACTGTGGCGCAACCATTCAGAACGTTAGCTACCCTTTCTGGGGAGCCAACCGCCCTCCGTTCTGCGGCGTTCCCGGGTTTCAACTCACCTGCAATAACAATAATTACACCACCATAGACATAAACAATCAGAATTTTCGTCTCCTAAGCATCAACTCATCCACTCACTTGGTCACCATTGCTCCTACCGATCTCTGGGACGATATTTGTCTGGACAACTTCAATTACTCGATTCTAGATGACACCCTCTTTAGTTACGGTCCAGACGTTCGAAATCTCAACGTGTTCTATGATTGCCGAGGTCGCAGCCTTAATATATCTGTTAGGAATAGATTTACTTGCATGATGCGTGGTTCAGAGAGGGTTGGCTTTTACGCTGACGAATCGTTTTCGTCGGTTCAGTTACCGGAATTTCAGCCATGTGAGCGTACTATGACCGTTCCTGTTCTTCGGAGGGCTATTCAGAGATTCACACCGAATGAGACCATTGAATTGCTGGAACTATTGAATGAGGGTTTTGACGTGGAGTATCGGATAGAGGATTTTTGTTCGGCTTGTCAGACGTCCGGTGGGTTGTGTTGGTCTGGCACGAATTCTACACAGCCCTCATGCCTTTGTAAAAACATTGAAGCTCATCCGCTCATGTGCCCGGAACAAGGTATGTTCTTCATTTGCGCTGCATTTTCATATTTACCGCAATTTATTTTCTAATAAAGTTAACTACAGTTTGATGGATCCCACTATAGTACCCAAAGCGTAACTTCTCTTTTGATGCAATACGTATAAAATTTATTTATTTTTTAAATTTTACTATCAATGGCCACAATTAAATCAAAGTAAAATGAATGGTAAAAATCAATTTTTTATATGATATTTGTTGTATGGTAACAGATAGAATAAAGTTAGATAATGAACGAAAGAGGTTAGTGAAACTAAACCGTTAATTTGCGCATAAATACTGAATTAAAATCCTACTATAGAACTGTTAATTCACAAAAAATAACAATCTAAAAGCTTCAATTGATTTGTTGATTCACAAAAAATATGAGAAGAATTAAGAAGAAAAGTCTCAATTGTATTAATCAAGCAAAAATTTTTATAGCCCGTTGACAAGAGTTTAAATAATAGTGAAACCCTAAACCAACTAAAAAATTAGAATCGTAATTAAATTAAAAAATTAAATAAAATAAAATTTTAATTAAATTAAAAAATAAAATAAATTTTCCTAATTGAACTTCACCTCAAATAAAATACCAAAATTTCAACCACTCGTTTTGGTATCGTACAATTGAGTCAGTCAATTCTTTCTAAGGCACTTAAATTATATTATTTAATAATATGAGAATTAAGATGATATCTTAGCATAGTGGGTCCCTCGTGCGAGAGATATCTTGTAAATATGGACATTCTTACTAAGTCAAAGATGGTGTGCATTCAGGTTCCATATCTTTCATACGGACACGACAATGGAACAGCCAAAAAAAAAATTTGGATGCAATGTCTTCAAAATTTTTGTGAATTATTTACAATTAAAAAATTTATCCTTTGTGGTTGATTTTTCATTTTTATAAATATTTTTATTATTGTTTTGAGAGTTTTTATTATATTTGTGATAATTATTTTTATCACTTTTCTTAAGTACAAAAAAAAATATTATTTTTGTGAGTAATTTACAGCATTTGTAATTATTTTTATCATATTTATAAGGATTTTTACTATTATAATGATAATTATTTTTATTAATTTTTTTTGTACTATAATGTGATAAAATTTCACATAAAAATGATAAAAATTACCACAAATACGATAAATTTTGATATAGCCAAATTTTGGTCCCATATTCCCGTCCCTTTTATACCATTGCAGTCTTCGATCTTAGAAAAAGTCAAACCGTGGAATGGTCAAAATGACCTTATCTTGAAAAGTAATGAGTTTTTAGGTAGCAATTTGTCCTTGCTTTTGCCCATGGTCTACAGAAGAAAGTGCCCGGAATATACCTTCTTAGGATAAATTATAGTTTGTCCTCTTACAGTTTTTTTAATTTAACTTAGCGCCTGGTATTAATGACTTTTGTCATATTGTCTCTCAACTAGCTATCTATTTCAACACTCATTTTTTGTAGTATTTTGAATGAAGGGTTTTTTTTAGGTCGGTACCCTATATAGGATTTGTTTGCATAAAATTTTTTCGATTAAAATATTTTGTGGATAAATCCTCTTTTTTTTGGTTCCAAAAACACCCAAGGAGGTAACTTAACAGACACTTGTTTGTCTTTGGAAACCACCGGATCCATTCACCATCTCCACAAGATCCCGCCACTAATCAAAGTCTCAAAACTCGAATTTTCAAAATTTGAACAAAACTTCCTCAAAATTCATTTAGTTTTCAACCATACACAAATCACAGTTTTTCAAAAATGAATTAAAACTTTCATATTTTAATGGGATAATGAATTTTAAACAACATATTCTTTTCTTTTCCTAAAATCTCTCTCACATAATTATAATTTTTCTTTCCTAAAATCTCTTCCACATAATTATAATTTATCTTTCTTACGTTTGTATGTAATTGACCCTATCTAGAATTCTCTTCCCCTCTATTAACAGTAAATTCTAGCCTAAAATCTCTTTATTAATTAACTGAAATTACTTTCACTTTGCATTATTATAGTATAACATAATATTGTCATTCATTAAAAGTAATATATTAAAAATAAGGGCCAGAGAGTCCCTCATGGGCTAAAAAAAGTACAACTTTAGGGGTTGGGGGAGGTTGTATTGTGTGTTGGGGGGTTGGTGGATCGTGGTCAGGTAATGGAAATTGGAAATCAAATTCTCAGATGGCGGTTAGGTCCAACCAAAAAAAGCCTAGCTTGGGCAAATTAGCCTGCGTCTCTACTTTGATTCAACAGTAATCTTGGGAGCTCTATTCCAAACTCACCTTGGCCCAGTTATTCTTATTTAGGGCCTTTTACTCTGTATTTCTTGTTTTGCGTGAGTCTGTGGAGTTATTATTCTCTTGCATTCTTAAGGCTATCTACAGTAACCCAATCAACGGAGTAGTTAAAAAGCTTGTTCAATACTTCATCAAAATTGGTATTATACCACACAACCCTCTTTTAGCTAGGGTTATCAATGGATAATATTGAACGATATTTTTAAATTGTGTAAGTTTTGTTGCATTAAAATTTCTTCAACTCGTAACTAAGTTATTTATTGTTTTGTAAGTTGAGCTCATATCGTTTCCGATTCGTATCATATATTAGTCGAGTTTAGTTAAATCTATGTCGTTTTTAACAATGTTAACCTATTTATTAAAAGAGTCTTATGCTTCTCTACCTATTTATTTTCCAAATTCGTCAAATCTGCTAATTCTATGTTGATTGCATATTGGTAACTTGTGAGTGAAAAGCTCAAGCTTTGCTTTCCTTTTAGGGGTCCCAACTCGATTGTACGAGGCGGGTTAATGTCGTGTATAACATGCTAGTAAATGGGTTTATAGGGGAAGTACATGAGTACCTAATCGTGTTAAAACCATCTAGTTAAAAAGTGATCTTAGAGTTAGGCGGGTTGTAAGAATCATATTTATATGCAAAACTTGTGAACAAAAGTATGATACAAGAGAAATATACGAGTTTTAGATGTTACAATCATATTGTATGTTATATCGGTATGGTAAATTATATTTTAGTTATACACAAACTGCATTGAGCAGATTGATGAAAAGAAATCCAAACACTAAGTTTAATAAAGAGGCTAATCGGGTCTACATGAACCCAGTTAGCTTCATACAAACCCACTGAATATGTCCTATTCAATCATACGGAGGTAGCATATATATTGAGAACTAAGCTTTTTGTTTTGGATGTTGATTGGGTCGAAGCAAAACAAGGCTAGTAGTCAGCTTAGTGGGAAAAACTACAAAGTACAAAACTTCTGTTTGCGTGTATGTGTCTGACTCTGCATCAACGTTTTTGTCATCCTTCTTTTCTAGAACTTTCATTGCATGTGAAGTGTATGACCAAAGTCTCCCTCCAGTCCTCACTTTCGGTTTCACCAACCCTAACCGAGTCCCTCAAAGTCATGCACTCAAACCAAATCCCATTATCACTCAATTTTTATACCCCACGATCGTCCCTTTTAGGTATCTCAATTCACACACAGATATATATATATATATATATATATATATATATATATATATATATATATATATAAAAGATGATAGCTAATGCTTTGAATTTTATCTCCACATATTTTTTTTTTCATTTTTATCACCTTCCGTATTTTTATCACAAGTTAAATTATTTATTTTTGATTAATTTGTGACTTAATAAAGATAATAGATATAAATTAATTTTAAATAATGTAATTAAAGAAAGAGAAGGAAAACAATTACTACTTGATATAGTGAAATCAAGTTTTTGGGTGCTCGGATTTTATGTTGCATTGTGTCCTTGAGATACTTATCACCAAAAGTTGATTTTTTATGTCACCATTATTAGGCTTTTACATGAATGACTTTCTCCTAAATTTCCAATATTATTACCAATTTGGGGTTTTCTGATAATTAATTTGCAATGTGACAAACTTTGGCTTAATCAAAAGGACCATTTATTTGTTTTTAGGTCGATTTTCGTTGTGTTCTATTTAATTTTGTTTTTATTTATCCTCCGTTTACGTTGTGTTTGTTTTATTGCAATTAAGCTTGCTGGCGGAAATCAAGAATTTGTTCAAAGAATGGGATAGGTTTCGAACGGAGCATTAGTCTTATTGATGGAAACAAGAAGTCGAATACAATCATTATTGAAATAATGAAAATTTCTATGCCCACAAGTATTACCACAGTGGACACACTAATTGATTGTCAAATCTTTTACTCTGAGGTTTGGTGGAAGAAGCAAGCGGGTCTCTTTTTGTTGCTTTAAGTCTTGAATCAATTTTTTTTTCCTTCCTTTAGAGCACCATTATCAAACCTCTAATTATTAGCTGAAACAGAACAAAGTTGGAACTAGTGTATAAAAAGACTCCAAAACTACCAAGTCAAACCAACCACATAGAGTGTTTTTTCACCTAGTAGTTCCCTCCAAAGCTGATCTTCTCTCCTGGCCTTTTCTGCTTTCTTCTTCCCCAAATGGATCTCCAAAGCCTCCTCATATCCAGAAATATGTTTCACAATGTTCCTATCATTGCCTTCTTCTTCTTTACCACCTCATTGGTTGAATCTCTATCCGTGAACTCAAAATACAGTGCTTGTGGGCCTCAAAACTGCGGTAATGGACCGAATATAAGCTACCCTTTTTGGATTCCTCAGCAACAAGAATCAAACTGTGGCTCCCCAGGATTCAATGTCACTTGTAAAGGCAATTATCCGACCCGCATATTTTCTGATGATGATTACATCATCAAGGATATATTTTACACTAACAACTCGCTTCTGTTAGTGAAAGCTGAGTTCTATGATGGGGATAATGAATGCCCACTCCCTAAGCGCAATTTTAGCATAGAAAAGACTCCTTTTAACTATGGTCCTGCCACCATGAATCTCTCCTTCTTCTATAATTGCACCGTGCCCTATGAAAATGCGACGTATGCAGTTGATTGTGGCAGCAACGCTACTCATCACGCTTTTGCTGTTTTCCATGCTGATCTCTTGAGGTACCGGAATTATTCAGCAGAGTCATGCCAAGATTATGTTAATGCACCTGTGGAGACTGATGATCTTAGCAGACTGTTGGATATAAATTTCACTGGTATTTTGAAGAAGGGGTTTGTTTTGCAATGGGATGCAGTTGATTGTAGGAACTGCCGGAGCAGTGGTGGGAGTTGTGATTCTGACAATAAGAAATTCACCTGTAACCATGGTAAATTAAACAGAAATTTGTCACCTGTTTTAATTAATAATTTTTTTGATTTTTCCTATTTTTATTACTAGTGATAGAAACAAGTTTTTGGGTCACTCATCTTGCCATATTCAAGATTAAATAAAAATGCAAAAAAATAATAATAATAATAATAATCATTTGGTAATTGTTACCTACTATGGTCTAGACTCGACATCATAAGACCTATGAGAACTACTATTTCTGACTTTTTTTTGTTATTTCTTTATCATAAATTTGAGTAAGTTGCGCATCCTACTTTCGTATGCAATCTCGATTCTTGTTATCTCAGAACCAGTAAATAAGAACTAGGATACAGACTAGATCATTAAGTTGTTATAGTCGATAGATCTGATTAGCCAGGTTTTGACAATTCTCATGTTTGAAGTTGTCCTTCAGCAAACTAAGCTTGCCGTAGAAATTATATTGACATGAAATTATAGATTGATTTTTATACTAACATTTGCTATGATCTTGATGATTGTTATTACAGATAAGGGATTGAATTTAGGACTGAAGATTGGCATAGGTAATATGCACCTTAAATCAGATGTTTTTTTTTTCTCACCTGTCCTCATTATTCTGATGCATAATTTCCCTTATTTCTTAGCAAATTTACTCTGTTTTGTTGCAGGTTTTGGTGCAGCGACAATCAGTGCCCTTTTCATGTGCCTTCTTTTCTTGATCTATCAGCGTCGAAACAAGAAACGTTATGCTGCTGCCTCATTTAACTCTCGAGACATTTCTTTGCATCCCTCTTCGATTACTGATCTTGAAAAGGATGGTAACTATTTTGGGGTACACATTTTCACCTATAGAGAACTAGAAGAAGCCACTAACAATTTCGATTCTAAAAAAGAACTCGGAGATGGGGGCTTTGGGACAGTTTACCAAGGTAAGAAGAAACAAACACTACTGTTGAATTCTGTTTTCATTTGTATGCATCATATGACTAACAATATGTGTTACTTTCTTAACTAGGCAAACTCCGAGATGGGCGTGCTGTTGCTGTTAAGCGATTGTACGAGAACAATTACAAAACTGTAGGGCAGTTCATGAATGAGGTTGAGATCCTCACACGTTTGCGCCATCAAAATCTGGTCACCCTCTATGGCTGCACTTCACGCCACTGTCACGAACTTCTACTTGCATACGAATATATTCCCAATGGCACTGTTGCTGATCATCTTCACGGTGAACGATCAAAACCTGGATCGCTCACATGGACTACCCGAATGAGTATTGCCATAGAAACTGCAAGTGCATTGGAATATCTTCATGCTTCTGATATCATCCATAGAGATGTCAAAACCAGCAATATTCTCTTAGACAACAATTTCTGTGTTAAAGTAGCCGATTTTGGGTTGTCACGACTCTTCCCAGCCGATGTCACCCATATCTCAACAGCTCCACAAGGCACTCCTGGATACGTAGACCCTGAGTATCATGAATGCTACCAGCTTACTGATAAGAGTGATGTCTATAGTTTTGGGGTAGTCTTGATTGAGCTTATATCATCTAAGCCTGCTGTTGATATCACAAGGCATCGGCATGAAATCAATTTGTCCACCATGGCTATCAACAAGATCAAAAATCATTCATTGCATGAGCTTGTGGATCCATCTCTCGGGTTTGAATCGAACTGTAAAGTAAGGGACATGGTAAATGATGTGGCAGAGTTGGCTTTTCAATGTTTACAAAATGGGAGGGAAATGAGACCATCCATGGGAGAAGTGTTGGAGGTTCTAAAGGGAATTCAGAACAAGGATTATGGCGTCCAAAACGTGGAAAAGGTGGATATTCTAGCAGATGATGTTGTATTATCGAATGCTAATCCTTTTACTCTTTCACCAGATTCAGTTACTGCAGTTTGGGTTAGCAGTTCAACAACGCCTAATGACAGTGCCTGAGACTTTGACTCATTTCTCCAAATTTGTGCAGTTTACTGGTAGAGTTTAAGCAGATATAGACCTTTCATCATATGCCAGTCTATGGTTTTTGAAGTCATTTTCCTTTCCTTTCCAAAAAAAAAAAAAAAAACATTTTGCATTTGATTTCCTAGATTTTGATATCTTGAAGGATGTGCATAAAAAATAGTAGATTGGCAGCTATCTTTCCCACTTTCAATTGATTGATTTTTTTTAGTTTGTAAAAGTAATAAACATAAGAAATGTATTTGCTTTATTTCCATACATATTCAGCCTTCCTGATCAATTTAGCATTCCATTTCTGCATCATCCTCATGGTGAAAAAGACTTCTCTATCATGAATTTGAATTGACTAGAGGAAGCTCTCAAACTACTGCTACAGAAAATCGCTCTGCAGAACACAGGAGGATGTCTAAATGGCTTCAACAGGAAGATTATAAACTGTGAAGATAAACATAAAAAGAAAAATTATAGATTTAGGATCATTAGAGCAAGGCCCTAGAATTACTAACAACCCTTATCGATGGATCTAAGCTCTAGATTGGATGCATTTGAAGGAAAGAAGGAGATCAATGCTTTATTTTGACTCGGAAAAGAACAAAATACAGCAAGGAGGTCCCCGGTGCTTTATTCCTGAAAAATATGGTAAATAGTAGCATCAACAGAAGGCTAGTTCTAGCAAACATCCAAACCCAAAACTTCTCTTGTTTCAGATGTAAAGTCTGCATTATAACTCCCAAAAATCTTAGTTTTAGATTACTATAATGACACAACAGTTAAAGGTTCATTCACCTTATAGTATGTACTTGTGGGGCTTGCCTTGTTTTGATCATTAAACTTACCTCTATAATTATTATTTTTTTTTTTTTTGGGGAGGGGGAGGGGGAGGGGGAGGGGGAGGGGGAGGGGAATGGGCAGGGGGAGAAGAGGGCTTGAACCCTTGACCTTAAGAAGACAAAACCTTCACAAGGTAAGAAGTATCATTAGACCAAAGGTCCGTTGGTAACTTACCTTTATAGGAAAAGAAGTTCTGAATTTAATCTTTGATATAAATTACTTCCCTTTCTTGAGGTTAGTAATCCTTGTTTTCACAAACAGAGTGGTGCCACTACATTCATGTTGGAAAACCAGACTTCATTGCAAAAATCAAAGCTAGTGTGAACTACCTCTCAGATTAATCCTTTAAATTTGGAAAATTTATTGGCTCTCAAGAATAAGAAATACCTAAATTTAGATCTTTTCATGATCTCGAGAGATTAAGATAAATATTCAGACATTTTGATTTCATAAACTCATAAACACTTGATTTCTAAAAAGAAACGATTGTGATCTTGTTAAAAAAAATATGTGGAGAGACTCTGCTTGTTATAAGCTATACAAGTTGGCAACATAGATTAATTATAAGGAAAATAATCAGTAAGTCCTATTTTACATACCAATTTCCATGAAGTCCTATAAATTTTCTTTAGGACCAATAAGTCCTA